CTGAAAATCAGAATATGTTTTTATACTAGAGGAATCTGATGAGCTATAAAGCTCTTTTTAAAGATTTCTATTAAATAATCTGCTCTCCACTCGTACTAAATAAGACTTCAAAGCTGGGATTGGCCGATTTAAATAGTAAACCAAATACTACCAATGCTTAATTTCACACTGCATTTGATGACCAGGCGGACACCATGAAAATTGCTAAGCGTGGCGAGTTTATTTAATATCGCATGGGAGCCTGGGATAGAATCTACGGTCTTAATATTGCTGGGTAAGTGCCCCCCTAAGTCACCAGCTGCCAGCTATACGATCAAGCCCTTAAATGAGAAATATTCACGGTGAATTGGCCAAAGATGGTTCATTATAAAGCAATTGTGTTTTCCATTGCCAATGGAACAATAATTAAATTATTTATTCAGGAAATCAACGATGATGCCATTGAATTGGCTTTTTATTTTAAGACGTTTCTGGCACAATTTCTGGGTTGTTTTTACAAGTGGGAGGAAACTGGAGTGCCCACAGGAAAACCCACGCGTGCGAGGGAGCAACGCTTTATCCCCGCACGGGTGGAAACAGATGAAGATTATCATTGGGACCTTTTTTGCCACTATCAAAATGATGAAAAGAAGAAGAGGCTTTACCCTTTCTGGCAATAACACAGGAGGTGTTAAGATGTTCCACCACCACATAGACACCTTTTGCAAGGCATCGAGTCTACATTAACCACGACGACGATGGAGGTGGTGGTGATGGTGAGGAATTCAGGAGGATGACTGCTCGGGAGATGCCGGTGTTTGTTAACAACGCCGCACAGTTATCATTTTAGCACTCTGGGGGAGCCCTCAACGCAACACTTTCCCCGATTGCATTTGCGTTCTCTTTAATGGACCTCACAGTCGTTTCGTTTATACCAAAATGTACAAATAAGTCGACTCTAAGTACGTATGAAATAAAAATGCACAATAGCGAGTTCAGAGCACGATGGCTGCGAGACTTGAGGGATAGGCGGGCAGCCTCATCCTCGCAGACCATTTCAAATGTAGCAACATTCTGTTCGCACCTCCCCGGCGTCAGTGGTCCGGCGCCACGCGCGCTCACGAATACTGGAGTCCGGCGGGTCACGAATAGGGAATTAGTGTACATTTAGTTTAACACGTAGGAGGCTTTCGCTACCAATGTCATCCATGATCCTGTTTTTTTTGGGTTAGATCGCGTAAATATAAATGTGTCGTTAAACTCGCCACCACCCGACACAGCCGATTAGTAAGGTTTGTCACGTAAACAGAACGTGCCGATTCGTCACTAGTACAGCACGCCGGTGTGTTAGAGAGAAAATCCACAACATTTACAATCTGAGTACGACGTTTCACCAGTAATTACAACTAGCTTCATCAGGCGGACAGCCAAATTTGTGGAGAAATCCTCCCGTTTCGCTCCTCATGAGCCCCCTTCAAATGTGAAGGGCTCACAAGTGACGTGATTACATCTATCCTTCTATTTAAGAACGAAACAGGAGGATTTCTCCACAAATCTGGCTCTCCGCCAGATGGACCTGGTTGTAATTACTGGTGAAACGTCGTACTCAGATTATAAATGTTGTGGATTTGCTCTCCAACACACAACTGGCGTGCTGTACTAGTAACCAATTAGCACGTTCTGTTTACGTGACAAACCTTACTAATTGGCTATATTGGGGGGTGGTGGGTTTAACGACTCATTTATATTTACGCGATCTAAGCCAAAAAACCTGCATTAAGAGGGTACATTTAGTAACTCGCGTAATAAACAAAACTCGCGAATCCAGAACCCGCACGTTGCGAGGGTTTGCTGAACGTTTGTATTGCCTTTAAGGGCGAATGTTACTGATTAAATGTGTTGAGTATTTATGAATGATGCATATAGGAATCAAGCGTGATGTGTGTATTACAATCAATGACGGAAGGGATAAAAACCTGCACGGAAGATAAATCGCAATGGAGCGGGCGTAGTTGATTTATGTCCAGCCAGACGGGGCGGATAAGAGCCTTACAACAACAACAAACAATACAAAAACATGACAGACATTTAAAAATAAAATCCCTGATCTCTGTCCAACCAGCAATAGAAATGGGTTCACCACATTCGAATCAGTAGACCACATGTGGTGGGCTAAAGTGTGGAAGAGGAGGTCAAACGCCCTCTCCCTCTCGTGGACGTCCTATCATCAGGAATCGGTGAAAAGGAGCTTCATAGCTCATCGGATTCCTCCAGCATAAGTATATATTCTGATTCGAATTCAATGGCACGAGCAAGGAATTGCAGAGCTGCACCTTTACCTTCAGCTCAAACGTGAAGTTGTCATTGTTTTGGCATTTCTGCCCATGTGACAACTGGATGTGATTGGCTCTGCTTGGTGGTGGGAGGGTTATACAAAATAAAATGACGTTCATACCCGCACAACGTACCCCAAAACAAAACTGATAAATAGCGTAACAATAAATTGTGGATTTCAATTGAATTCAACCGACGTAATTTAACCTGGCGACGGCCCAACGATGTTCACCGTCCCGTTTGCAACGAGCGAGGCCTGCAAGAGTTGCAGCTGGGAGCTGGGCACAAAGTCCGAATGCTGAAGCCATAAGGAAAAAAATGTGAGTGGGCAATGCGACACAGCAAGCGCATGAGTTCTACCTGGCAACAACAATGACCCCGCCGCGCGCAACGCCCGATCTTGCAGAGCAGCAACGTTGGCCGGGGCCAATCGCGCATTGAGGGCCCTTGTGAGCGAGCTGTCAGAGGTCATCACAAGGCCACAGGGAGCCACCCACCTCCCCGCCACCCCCCCTTCCACCCCACCGCCCCCCGCCAGCCTCTGGGAGAGATTGGCCATTGCACGAGATTAATAAGCAATTAATTTGCCAATTTTTTTTTAATTTGTACGAGTTGCTGAAGCGGCAAGAAAATTCATAACGCGCCGTGTCATCAAGGTTACGCGATGGTGATAGCTCATGTTGTTGGTGCTGCCCCGTATGAGTATTTTACCACGGATTTCAGCTGATGCAATATACGAGGAGGGGGGAGAAGGCAGGCATTCTAGAGCATTAAGGGACACTTGAATACCTGAATATGCTCTGATAAAATAAACCCATTGTTGTTCTTCCAACTGCTTCCCAGCGCTGTATATTCCCATCCCATGTCATGTCAACAAAGACTCTGATAAAAAAAAATACAATTGGACTCCAAAACAGCCATGAATAACGGCAACCTTCACCTTTGTAGCATCCCCATCGCTCAAAAGCAGACGTTCCCGTAGGGGTTTTTCTCTTTGAGGAGAGGGAGCCGCCGCTGGGTGATCACTCTGGCCTCTTGAGATGGATGTTGTTGGACTATGCAATTCCATGCCAGTGGGGCCGTGCACTTTGCAAGCCATGTCCAAGAGGGGGTGGGAACTATGGATGAGTTTTGGATTAGAAACAAATCGATGTAGGGGATTTTAAGGACAATTTATGGTCTTTTTCAGATAAATTACGTCATGTACTCATCTAGCGTGTCTTCACACGAACAAAGGCGACGTCGCCCGATGCCACGGGACGCCACGTTTGGTGGGAGAAGTGTATGTTAAATTGAGCCCATCACCCATCACCGTCCTCCCACCAATCACGTGGAACCCTCGCCATTAAAAAATATATAATTAAAATTACATCGTTGATCACGTATGGACCCATGGAATGGGTCCATAATGGATTTTTTTTTTGGCCGTTAGAGAAACCCAAAATTGCTCCAGCTGGCTCTAAATCCTGTGAGCAGCAGCAGGACCTTACGTGAAGATGGTTTTCTTCATACTGAGGAAAAGGTTAATTAGATATTTGATGCCAGACTCTGTGCCATGATTATGTCGGGCAGCACTGTAGAAAATGTGTTCAAACTCACAATTCTGCAGCTTATTAGCTCGCATCGTGGTCAGTGGCCCCATCGTGTCTCCCGGGTCAATAAAACGAGCACCACTTTGTAAGAAGTCGAAAGCAGCTGATACATAGAGACACGCTAACGTGACTTAGTTCGTAAGAGGGCAATCTGGTAAGAGGTGCTTTGTTTGTGAACACCGCATTGGTTCACACTTGAAAATATCCCTGTGTGTAAGAAAGCTTAGAGTGTGTGATACGACTGCAATTAGGGCTAACTAAGAGTGAACTAATATACCAGCCCAGTGGCTCAGCTGTAGAGCGAATGGCTCGTCATCGGAAGGTTGCCCATTTCAAATTGGCTGTGGGTTTTCTCAACCCATAATCCCTCTCGGGGTCGATACAATGCATACCACTTTGTGGAGAAATCAACTTTTTTTGCCCAATTGATAGGTTCGCCTCCATCATGGGAATGTGGAAATTCCACCACTATTTTTTAGGCTGCTTCAGTTTTCATTTAAGTAAGGAAGCTCATTTTTTTGACTTTAGAACTATGCTGGTTAGGTTTGTAGGTATGTAACGAAAAGACACAAATTCGCCCATTTTCTCATTAAAAGTAGGTACATTTCAAAATATCACTGTCCTAATAACAAAAGCAACGTTTGTGGGGAATAATATCCATTTTCTATACTTTTTAGGCATAAGCAATTATGAAATAACACTTACTACCCAGTAACAAAAATTGTGTTACATAGTGCCATCAAAGACAGTTACCGCACCGCGCGCTGCCAGATGTGCTTTCTGTGGCCATCTGGGACGCCTTTCCTTCAGATATTAGGAAGCCACTGGAGCTATGCACTTTTAAGTATCGAATTAAAACTCATTTCTTTAGAACCGCTTTTTGTGTTTAGTTTGTTGTCCTTCCCCCGCTTAGCACGGTTGCCTACGTACGGTGCGAAACAAGTTCAACATTGACATGCGTACTCATTGTCATCGGCACTGTGTTTTTTTCATTACGGGAGTCCACAACCCACCTCACTGAAATGTATCCGCCCCCTCTGCCCGTGCCACTGTGGGCGCGCTGCGGCCGTTTGCTCCACGCGTGCCACTCTATAGGACGCCCAGGACCTGAGCAAGCTGCAGCGGCTGGGCATCGGCCTGGTGCTGAACGTCACGGCGCACCTGCCGCTCTACCACTACGAGCGCGGCGGCCTGCACTACAAGCGCCTGCCGGCCAACGACAGCGACAAGCAGAACCTGCGCCAGTACTTCGAGGAGGCCTTCGAGTTTATCGGTCAGACGCTCGCCACCATAGTCACCAACACCATAACCACCACCGTAACCACCACCATAACCACCACCATAACTACTACCAACATGCTCTGCGGACACTACCATTATTAGGGAAATACGTGTGTTCGTTATTCACACTTTACAAGTTGAAAGCGTCAATTCGTCAGTCTCTGTCTGTACGGACGTCTGTCCTGTCGTCCGTCTGGCTGTAACGTTGAGGTAGGATAACTCTCGATAATATGATCTGATATGAATGAAATTTGAGTGTTGCTATTCGAAACTTGCCGTGCAGAAAACTGGTAACGGGGCTGAATGTCAGTCCATCCGTAACGTGGGGTCACGATAATGTGCTTAATAGATAGTCCAATAGTAACACATTTTTTGTAAACATTTGTGTTGCTATTATCCAAGAGAAAACCACCAGATACATTGGTGAAAGAGTGCGTGAACGCGTTTTGCCCAGACGGTTACACGCTGTCCCCTGTGCGACTAAAAAAATACTTCCAAAGGAAAACAAGTGTTGGAAAGAATTGCATAATTCTTGTGTACGCACGGTTACTCTTGTTTAAAGCAGTACTTTATTATTATTCGTAAGTAAATGTCAGATCTCACCACAACTAATCCACAACTTATTTTCGTACGGAGGTGCCTTAGCATTGCAGGCAAGTTCTAGATCAGAGTCCTGTGTGCAATGAAGGTAGTGGAGTGGTCGGGCTATGATTTTTTGTGCTTTAATGCCGCAATTATTAAAAGGTGTTCCCTTGAGTTTCCTAGTTGTTGCTTTGCCATGTGCCGATAGCGATAACCACGGCCTCCGATTATATTTATCAGCGTACAAATTCCAACACTGGTCAAGATCGATCAGTCGAGGCGCTTTAATAACACGATCAGCAAATTTGTGGGGAAGTCAACAATCAATTATTGTACCTATCTCAGGAATGTGGAGTGAGGTGTGTCCAAGTGACTCAGCTGGCCACCGTTATACCATCGGCAGAGGATGGAGCCAGCTGTGTTTCTGCAGGGCACATTCAAATCATGTCCTCATCTTCTGTTAAGAGGATGTCACATCAGGGTACAAGGGTAGAGGGATGCCTGTCAGTGTTATGGCCCCTATCCTTGGGTGTCATCAAAGTCAGACAGCACTTGACTCACAGCCCCCAAAACGATGTCAGTTGAGATCCATGTCGGAGCACAAATGATGAGCCAGTTCACCCTCCAAGGGTGGTTGATGAGACGAGCCCAAATTGCGTGGGTTTTCGCTGCTGTGACGTACTGCTCTGCGATGCGTTTTCAGGCTGTACCATCGAGTGCTGTTCAGCGCGATGTCTGACGTTTTGGCCACCCCCCCCCCCCGAGAAACCCGCAGTACAACCAAAAACCCAACATTTGAACCGCCCATTGGCGCATCCCGAGCGGTGGTTCTATGCGGAAACCACAACTTGACCACTTTTGTTATAGCCGCCAATAAATATTATCACAACTGTGTGATTGTTAAAAGCAAGGAGAATCAAACAAAAAATAAATTGTCCGCCACTATACGTGCATATGTGTGCTGAACTTATTTCGCACCAAGGCCGTAATTATAATATATACTGGGGGGGACACACCCCCCCCCCCAATAATCAAATATGCTCAAAATATCCCCCCCCCCCCCAATATAATTGCTATAAAAAAAAACATTTTTATAATTGCGATGCTATGTTAATAAAAACAACAATTTGCTTAACCTTGGCCACAAAATCTGGACTTGTCTTTATATAACAATGCATAGATTTCTGTTCATATGATTGTGGTTATGGTTGTACTTTATGAATCCCTAATCTCTGCCATTGCATACAATGAATCAAGAAATGGTAAAAAGAAAACACAGAGCAATGTAATACAATACACCATTAGACATTATTGTAAAAAATAAATAAAAAGTTATCCCATGTGTTATTTTTTATATTTTTGACAGGAAATGGCAGGAAATGAGTTTCCAAATTTAGATTATTTTTTCTTGGGGGGGGGGGACCCCAGACCCCCTGGAAGATTTTGTCCCCCCCAATGTTGACTCCATGGCTACGGCCTTGTTTTGCACTGTACGTAGCCAAGCGTGCTAATCGGAGGTGTGTAGACAACAGACTGGAGGGATACCCAGTCCTTCCCCGCCGTGTGTGACAGACAAACTCTCTCACAGGACTGTCATCTAACGTGGAGCTAATTCACAGGCCCACTGGTTTGTCTCTCATGCCACTTGCTCTTTTTTTTATTACGCACTTTTATTGAACTCACTCTGTCTGTTATCGTTATCGTTGTTGTATCCTCAAATCTTGTAACTCAATTTTAACCCACTTCCCAATGTGGTATCGACTGCAAACGTGGTATACTTATGTCATACTGATGACAATACTACATTCTCTCATAAAAAAAAATCTATATTTTTAACATTATTTTTTATATGTTATGTTTCGGCTTGGGTCTAATTGTCCAAGGTCAACTAACGTTGGCTGTAATTGCCCACGGTCCCTTACGTTATGCCCCACGCTTTTATTTTTAGTCAGTTACAACAACAGTATATTAAACATATATAATGCAAAGTACTTGAACGGAAACGATTTTTTTTTACTTTTTAGTACATTTAATTAAAGCGTGTTTAAAAAAAGTTGTTTTAAAATATATATTCTTATATTTAGAACGTGGGACTTTCTCCAACTCTGCAGTGGCGTAGCATATTTGTAAAATAACGTAACTCATTTACATTGTTTGCTGCATTTCCTAGAAACGACCGACCTAATAATGCCCAGTGTTTTCCAAGTGATAAATAATAACTACACATTTAAATAAACATGAAGCGGTGCGTGAATAAAACATCATGACAGCACAATTAGTGTCTTCCCAGATTAACAAAGAACCCGTTGGCAATAAACTTGCAAGAATAACAACGCTCTGCTAGTTTAAATTATGTTTGCGCGTTTATTAATATACCAAAGTTGTTAAAAATGACGGGGTGACGACGAATAGAATGAAGCTGCGTTCTATTAGGGATAACACTGAGGGTGCGTAGTCACCCATCGACTTGCACACCACGTGACATCACACACGTTAGCTCCAGAGCCTTAAATGGCCCATCTCGAGACCTCGTCATGCTCTCTTAACACATTCCTGCGGAGGGAGCTGGTAGGAACGTTGGGTTGCTCGGTCAATGGCCAGGGTCAACGGCGGCATGGTGTATTCCGCAAATATGCCCGACTGTGAGGGCGGGCACAAGCCAGCGTGAGTAGGTTAAACGTTGAGTTTTATAAGGGCACCACGGGGTGACCAGCCCCTTCCCACCCAGCCCCACCCCTCCCACCCCCCACCCAGCCCCACCCTCCCCACCCAGCCCCCCCCCCCTCCCCACGCAGCCCCTCCCTCCCCACCCAGCCCCTCCCTGCACGACGGACGGACACAATAAGCCCCTGTGGGCTGGTGTAACCAGGAGGTTCCAGCCAGTAAAACGATTTCATGACAAAAAAAAATGAACAAGAGCGAGTAGTTTACTGTATGCCGATCTTCCGAATACGCCGTCAGTGCCGAACTTAAAGCACAAGTCATCAGTGCACCACCATCATCAGCGGCACCGCGTTAAAAACAAATACTATACATACAGCGTGCACTGGCCGTGGTTACAGGCAACGGCAACAACCATCATAGGGGGATGAATTTGCTGCGCGAGTTGACTTGTAGTTGCAAACTGGACGTTAAACGCGATGCCTGAAAAACAATGGGATATGAAGCTGTTACCCATCAGACTACAATATGTACGTGTGTGTGTATGTTGAACTTATTTCGCACCGTAGCCAACCCTGCTAATCGGAGGTGCGTGCTAATCGTAGCAAACCCTTTAAAAGGAAAACATATAGCAACAATTGAATTCCATTTAAACATGTACGTGTATTCATACGATCGTATGTATGTGTGTATATACAAACCAGGGATGTGCACTGATTCACCCATGATGACTTGGTATAGCTCGTTGACTTAGATCAAAGTCACAATTCCATTTGAGAAACTGAGTTCGCTCGTCAAACAATCGTTAAAGTATATATAATTGGCGACGTTTCAGGCAATGACCAGGCAATGACCATGGCCTGAAACGTCACGTATTTTTTTCTGAGGCTACAGTGTTGTTGACGTGTGTTGAGTTTGTGTATGTTCATTGTGCTTCAGCACCACTGCCAATGAATGCAGCATCAGAATATTCTTAGTTTAAATACTATTCAGGAATATTTGCAATATATACTTTTGATTGTCTGGTTTTATTTGTACAGTTTTGGAATAGTGCCATGAACCGAACGTGGAAGTTTCAGTGGCCTAGCAAAATTCAGGAAAGGCATTTCCGCCATTGAGCACACATGCAGATGATCAATCAAATTCTAAAAATAGAGGAACCAATATCAAATTGCATTACATTATGCCTGGAGCTTACCGATGATAAAAAAAGCATTATTTCAGTTCAGGGGAACCTTGAAGCAGTCATCATAACTATAACATTTCTATACTCTTTGGTTCTTTCGGTAAAGTCACGTAGGTAGAAAAATAATAGATCACGACGTTTCGATCGCAACACAAGCAGTCGTCATCAGTTGAGACAACCACAGCAAGAAAAAACTCACCTGATGACAATTGCTTGTGTTGCGATCGAAACATCGTGATCTTTTATTTTTCTACCTACGTGACTTTACCGAAAGAGCCAAAGAGTATGGATTCCTGCAGTCACGAAAGCCTCAAATCAAGAACAAACATTTCTACTTGATTTGTAGAAGTGGTATGTAATCAGTTCTCACGCACACAACTTGATTCCGGCATCGTAATAATGTATAAGTGTAAGAATCTATTTTAGTTCATGAATTGTGGCATCGTCATGTGCCTGTTTAAGAATAGTTTATGCAACTGGTGACCCAGCTGGCACAATAAAAACATACCCGCAGAGTATAAATGTCCACGTGATAAGCCACTCCGTTGCGCTATCATTTGTGG